GTTCAAAGCCCTCATTTTCTTTTGTGTTATCTGTAAAGCTGAGCAGTTGTTCTCTGTAAGAATTCTCTGTTGGAATGACAAAATACTGCAAGCCTTTGAAGTGGAGTTTATACAGAAATACCAAATAAAGCTTTTACTGAAATGATCTGTATTGCTGTTGCTCACATATTCAAGGTGTTTTAGATAATCTAACATTTACTGGTCATTTGCAGTACTGGGGCCTGTCCTGTATCTCATTGATGACCTGGACGAAGGCATTGGGTGCACCCTCAGTAAGCTTGCAGATGACACCAGGCTGGGAGGAACTGTTGATCTGCCTGGGGGCAGGAAGGCTCTACAGAGGGATCTCGACAGGCTGGGATGCTGGGCTGGGGCCAATGGGATGAAGTTCAACAAGACCAAGTGCCAAGTCCTGCACTTTGGCCACAACAACCCCAGGCAACGCTACAGGCTTGGGGCAGTGGCTGGAAGACTGGAAGAAATGAACCTGAGGGTGTTGGTCAGTGCTTGGCTGAATGTGAGCCAGCAGTGTGCCCAGGTGGCCAAGAAGGCCAATGGCATCCTGGCTCGTATCAGAAATAATGTTGCCAGCAGGAGCAGAGAAGTGATCATCCCTCTGTCCTCAGTTCTGATGAGGCCGCACCTCAAGTGCTGTGCTCAGTTTTGGGCCCATCACTGCAAGAAAGACACTGAGGCTCTGGAGTGTGTCCAGAGAAGGGCAACAAAGCTGAGAAGGGTCTGGAGCACAGGGCTTATGAGGAGCAGCTGAGGGAACTGGGATTGTTCAGTCTAGAGAAGAGGAGCTCAGGGGAGACCTTATCACTCTCTACAGCTCCCTGAAAACAGGTTGTAGCAAGGTGGGGGTCAGCATCTCCTCCCACATAATTAGCACTAGGACTGGAGGGATGGCCTCAAGTTGCACCAGGGGAGATTCATGTTGGACGTTAGGAAAAATTTATTGCCTGAAAGAAAGGTCCCTGGAATAGGGAGGTGGTGGAGTCCCTGCCCCTAGATGTTGTACTAAGGGACGTAGCTTAGTGGGGAAACATTGGTGGTAGGTAGATGGTTGGACTCAACGGGTTTGGAGGTCTCTTCCAACTTTGGTGATTCTATGACTGTATGATTTATGGGTGCATGTTCTGTTCAAAATGGGAATATAAACTGGAGATGTAAATAGGGAGGTGCTCATTAAAAGAAATACTTTTTAGTTTGTGGTCAGCACTGCAGTGCTTCCCAGCAGTGCACTGTGCAGTTGCTGGCAATGGATTTACTCATTCAGACTGTATCTAAGTATATAAAATTCTTGATGGTAACACACGGTTACTCAGGAGCCTTTGCAGCTGTTGGTCTCAAGAATGAGAAGCAACAGAGAGTTAAAGATGTGCACTTCAGAGAGGTGGCAATGTGTGCAGATTATTCAATAATGCCTTTCCTGATAAAAAATCTTCCTGTCAATATGATCATTTGGCAGCTTATTGTTATTTTTTTACATAAAGTTAAAAATAACTATGCAGCAACACTAAGCAGCTAGCATGAAATTGGGTGACTTGGGGCAACCAGAATATGAAATATTCAGTTTTATAGCTAGCAACGTCTCTCCTTTTAAGTAAATCATAGAATCACAGAATGGTCTGGGTTGAAAAGACCCACAGTGATCATCTAGTTCCAATCCCCTGCTATGTGCAGGGTCGCCAACCAGCAGACCAGGCTGCCCAGAGCCACATCCAGCCTGGCCTTGAATGCCTGCAGGGATGGGGCATCTGGGAATGGGGCTCAATGATAGTGAGCAGCTCACTGCTTCATGGGAATACACCCGTCTGCAGGGCCAGGATCTCTGCTACCTTCCCTTCTGCATTCTGCTGATGATTCACTGAAAGTCATCAGAACAAGGTAGCAGTGCTGGTCTATTTACGTATAGAAGATAAGAATCCGTCTTTCCTCCATCACAACACCTTACACTTTTCTTTTTCTCCATCCCTGGAGGCATTCAAAGCCAGGTTGGTTGGATGGGGCTCTGGGCAGCAGGATCTGATGGGTGGCACTGGCCACAGGGTTGAAGCTGGCTGGGCTTTGAGGTTCCTTTGAATCCAAGCCATTTTGTGATTCTATGAGTATTTCATTATGGTTTTGTTTATTCAAAATAATACAGATAACACGTATGCATAACTCAGCAGAGCACTGTAAGTACACCTGTGCCTATGTAGACAGCATCACGTTCCACTAGCCCTGCCTTTCAGCTGAATTAGAGACAACTCTTGGCTACAGAAGGAATCATCGTTATTCTAACACTGAGAGGAAAACCCTTGATAGGTAGCACAGGTACCAGGATCTGAGTGATGAAGTGGAGGTTGTACCAAGCCACAGCCCACGAGGACGACCTCACATCACAAGAAACATTTCTGGTTGACCCATTGGGTATCCCGGCCCTGGCAGCAGACGCACTCTGTATGTGAGTTCTGATCCATCTTCTGTCGTGTGAAACAAGCTGGGTTTTGTGGCCAGAGCAAGAAGATGATGTTATTTGTGTAGCCAGTGCTAGAGGTCTCAGGTACCTGCACACAACTGTAGCTAGGTCTTGGAAACAACAGCTGAGAGACATAGAATTCGTGGGGTCGGGTAGGCAGCAAATACAATCTTTTTCATTTGAAAACTTCTTTCTCCTTGACGTTTTGACAACCACTGCATTAAAGGTAAGGAAGTTTTATAGGTGTCCAAGTGGAACCTATATTAGAAAAGCCAAATTCTTTTACCTCGAGAAGTAAAAGAAAACAGTTCTCCAGCTTATTTCACAGAATCACAGAATTGTAGGGGTTGGAAGGGACCTCCAGAGATCATCGTGTCCAACCCCCCTGCCAAAGCAGGTTCCCTACAGCAGGTCGCACAGGTAGGCATCCAGGCAGGTCTTGAACATCTCCAGAGGAGACTCCACCACCTCCCTGGGCAGCCTGTTCCAGTGAAACAGGCTTATTTGTATGAATGGAGTTTATCTGTCTCCCAAGAAGTAATTTATTTATACTATGCTAGCATCCAAGATAAAAAAGGCATAAAACTTAACTCCTTGTCTGAAGAATCTTACCTTGAAAAAGAATAAAACTGCAGCAAAGCTACTGCCTTGGCTGCAGACAGGAGGATCATCTCTGGAGAGGAATTTTCCTGTGGGACGGAGCCTACTCACACTTCCTTGGAAGTGAGGAGTGGACCGAGGCCAAAAAAAGGTGCAAGGCACGTACACAGAGTTTGCAGCCCCCAGCAGGTTCATTGCATGAGTTATCACTGGTTTGACAATACTGCAGAACTGAGAGCTGAGGTGTGCATGTACCTGCAGGCAGTCAACGCGCCAACAACTCTGAAGTCATACGATAATGAGCTCACTCTCAATTTATAGAGCTACAAAAGAAAAAAACCAAAGATTTTGTAATTCAAAGCATTGAGAGCATGTCAAGAATTTGCAAACAAAGCTTGTTAAGGCTGTGCAAAAACACACAAATTGAAAAATTAATTCTGATTTTATCTAAATTTAAAACTGTTACTATATATGCTATGTATACTATAAAATCCAGAAGATTCAGTATTGAAATATTGGTTTTTTTCTTGAAATAATTGATATTTTCTCAGTTCTTGTATCATTCTTGATTACAAAGCGGACGTGCAGATATTGCAGTTGGCTTAAGTGTAATTTAAGTTGTAACAATGAATGGACTCTTCACATCCAAAACAGAGTGCAGAGCCATTGAAAAGCACACTTTGGGAAGAGCAGGATAAAGAAAGGGATGCACTGATCCAGCAGCCAGCCTGGTTCAGTGCCACACTTGTGTAATTTTGGGTGCTGTGTAAGAAGTGAGCATGTCTGCTTCTGCCTGCTGCCTGCCTACGCACCAGTGCGTGTTGAGCACATTGCACGATGCGTGCTGAGGGGAAAACATGAACGCAGGCCCTGCTAAAGCTGAGCTCTCTACAGATGCCTGGTTTGCCCTCAGAGCCAGGCACACATTCCCAAAGACATCAATGCAGAAGCTGAATTCTAGGTGCACCTTATTTACTAAAGCACATCGATGGTGTGAACTCACGTTCTGTCAACAAGCAGAAAGCTGCCTGGTGTCATCGTCGAACTCCTTCCAAAGTGTTGTCACCTTCATTTGATTCTATAGCAAGCACTTTTGCACCCAGCACAGCACGTGCTCCACACCCACCTTCAGCTGACCCAAGAATGCCTGCAAGAGCACTGATGGGCACAGCTGCCCCTTGTCAAAGTAGCTTTGACTTTGTACGTGTCCTGGAACAAAATTAAGCACCCTAACATGGAGTGATTTTTGAAAGGACTCCATTTAAGAAGTTCTACAGCAAAGCTACTGCCTTGGCTGCAGACAGGAGGATCATCTCTGGAGAGGAATTTTCCTGTGGGACAGAGCCTACTCATACTTCCTTGGAAGTGAGGAGTGGACTGAGGCCAAAAAAAGGTGCAAGGCACGTACACAGAGTTTGCAGCCCCCTGCAGGCTCATTGCATGAGTTTATCCACCTCCATTGGTGGATAAAAATGATACAAATAAGTGCTACTGACAAAGTCAGATTCTAAGCTATGTAAGGGGAGCTTAGGTTCTTTCACCTGGATCACAGAAATCACAGCACCACAGAATCACAGAATGGCCTGGGTTGAAAAGGACCACAGTGATCATCTAGTTTCAACCCGCCTGCTATGTGCAGGGTCACCAACCACCAGACCAGGCTGCCCAGTGCCACATCCAGCCTGGGATGGACATCTCCTACCTCCAGAGCAAAATGTGCAGTATGTGGTATTTCTTCTTCTCCATCACCACGATTCTACATCTGTCCAGCTGCAATATGGACGAGAGAAGAACTGGCTTCAAAAAGCCCTGCTGCCAAGACAGAAGGTATGTGCACACAGTAATCAGTGACTCTTCTTTTCTGCTAGGGGAGATGTAGTAAATTCAACCCATAAAATTCATTTGCGCCAAGGCATGAAAAGAGCAATAGCACATATTGAAAAACAGAGGCATAGATTTTAATCAATCTGTTATCCATTTTATATCCATTTTATTTAGTTACAAACCCAGTTCTGCTTTAGCTCCACACAAGATCTTCAGCATCCTTCTCCTCCCATGGACTGCAGGTTTTCTAGATACTCTGTGAGAGCCTCCATCTCCGCAAACTCCAGCAGCCTGTTTATTAGCTTATCCAGTTCCTCTTTCCCACTCAGAATTTCCTATGGGAAAATAACAGCAGACCAAAGCATTACAGAGGATACTTCAGTACCATTCTGCAGTGGGGACTACTCCAGGAGTTCTCACAGAGCTCACTAAGGAGGACTACATATTGAGCATCATTCATTCATATAGCTGGAGAGAAATACACAGAGCCCTAGGTCAGCTCGTTATGTCCTGAAGAAAGGCAGAGAAGTGTAGGCTTCTTGAATTAGTCGTGTTCTATTAGGATGTGAATAGCCATGTGATTTCCCCATATATTTTAAATTATTTTCACAAGCTTGTAGTTTGCTTTACGTGGCACAGTTAAGTATCCAAGTCTTAAAACCCTCCTAAGCAACCATTACCTTGATATTGCGTGCATCATACGAGATCCTGTGGTCAGTGACTCTGTCCTGGGTGAAGTTGTAAGTACGAATTCTCTCTGACTGGGCTCTTGTTCCCAACTGTAGCAGAGCACCACAGGAATAGAAAAGAATTACGTCAGTCTCAAAAGCCATGGAAGGCAGAAGGCATTCCCACAAAAGGCAGTGAGTGGGAGCCATTCGTAACAGTAGCAGCACAACCGATGTCTGCTTCACAGAGGGTGGCAAAGGGGTTTGCTAACATCAGGCCGTCAGAAAAGAGCGGAGAGTAAATCGAGCGGACACAGAGGAGTCCTCTGGTGGTGAAGTAAAGCAGTGCAATCAGTTCGAAAAGACTTCATGCTCAACTCCAAGTGTAGCTTGGTTGCACGGTTAAGCATTGTATTAAAAAGGAGAACTACACGCTGAAAACTGCTTAGAGAAATGAGTGTCTACTTGTACAAGCTGCTTTTTTCTTTTAAATTCCACCTGCACTCACATTTGTGTTTCAAAAGAAGGGATTTTATATATTCTGAATCATTATAAAAGCTAATTCACTGTAGCCTGATTTTCTACAGCATTAACATAAATGTAAATCTCAAGTCCTTTAATGCAGCCTTGAGAACTCTCGAGCAAAAATGATTAACAGCAGATAAATGGCTCACCGATTACAGAGACAGAGTTAATAATCTGCAGGAACAACACACTGACACACAGCCTGAAGTGAGCAATTAAATGGCTAAGCTGGAAGCGGTGGAACGCTGAAGAATTCTGGTCTTGCCAAGTATTTTTATTCTTGTTGGTCACTATTGAAGTTTGCACTGCAAACAGCAAAATACTCAAAGAATGGGAAAAGAATGTTGGCACACTTAAGAGGAAAGTACAGCCTGCAGCACAACTTGAGGCAACTCGGATTTGAAGTTTCTTCTTTCAGAGGTTACTTAACCCACAGCAAACAGAGCTGTGAAATGGCAGGCTCCTTTGTGTACTTGTTTCTCCCAGAAGCTACACCAGCTTGTCAAACACCAAACACAGGATTCTCCTTCTAAGCACAATTTATCAGACACAGACACTCGGAGAAACACCCCTACAACAAAGCACCCTTTCCAAGTTCATCAGTCATCCTGTCTCACCTGCAGTTTCCTGGCGCTCTGCTCTTGACTCAGTTGTTTCTCAATGATCTGCTGGTACAGCTTAGCTCTCAGCGTCCTCAGAGCTATTTCCTTGTTCATCTGCTGCGATCTCTCCTGCTGGCACTCAACCACCACCCCTTCACAGTAGAATATCAGATAGAGCAGAGCAAAAAGCCCATTCAAACACAGAACAAACAAGCTAAATTAATTCAATCGCATTAGGCAAATGACACCTTCTAGGAGTGCTCATTTTTAGGGCCTTTCAGCTGCAGGATAGAAAGTCATTTTAACACAATGTCTCAAGCCATTAGCATGTTTTTAAACTCCTCACAGCTGCACCAGAAGCTTTGTTTGGTGCTACAGAAAAGCTAGGGATACTGTGAGATTCCATAAAGCAAACAGTTCTCATTGGAATTATCATTCTCTGGACACTGCCTCCAGAGGACAGGTTTACTCCAGGTAGCTGTCATTGCAAAAGTGAAGTTGCTGAATCTACAAGAGCATGCTTAAAAAAATGTAATGTGGGGTTTTGAATGTCTTCATCTACACGAGCTCTTGGAAACTGGAAAGTTCCTTATTTTAAAGGAGGAGAGCACCAGGGCCATACTAGAGAGCCTTAAGCTGAATTATAAATAATGAAATAAGATTAAAAGGTCTGATTTTTTGTTTTTTTACTTCCTGCCTGATTTCCAAAATGAAAAGCCCAAAGGCTTTTTTTCAGGTTGGACAGATACAGGCCCACTGAACTTCAGTACAAGCAAGTCCTAAGAAAGACAGAATGGTTCAGTACCTATGTTAACTTCCCATCAGCACATTTTCTTTCCTACTTAACTTTGGATAGCATTATCTAGTACTGAATGGAAATCTTCAAGCTCCTCTTTCTGCCTGCTGCAGCTAGGCAAAGTTCACCCTTAGCTGACAATGGCCATTACTCCTGAATCAGTCAGCACAAATTATTTACATTTTCCATCCCATCCCCGAGATCCTCCATTTATTCTTTCATCCTTCAAAGACATTGTGTTCATTAAGCATAACAGCAGCATGTTGGTCATCGTGCCACTCCTCAAGTTCCTCTTCCCACACGCCGCTTTGTTAGAAAACGACAGAACAAAAAGGGGCTACAGACCTCTTGGTAGATGGCACAACCCTGCAGACTTACAGAGTCACAATTCCAGAATGCAGAGTGCTTAGAATTACCAACCGCAGCCAGACTTACCTGTGGGAAGATGTACAACCCTCACAGCACTGTCAGTTTTGTTGACGTGTTGCCCTCCTGCTCCTTTGGCCCGGAATGTGTCTATACGCAGATCTTTGGGATCCACTTTAACATCAACCTAAAATCAAAGAAAACTACTGTTTTCTGCTCTTTCTAAATTATTTTGACTGCCTTTTCAGTGATAGAGTAAAAGAAATCACTTATTAAAAACCCACTAATTTTCAACTGTGCTTGAGTATCAGCTACAATCATTATCATAGAAACATAGAATGGTTTGGGTTGGAAGGGACCTTTAAGATCATCCAGCTCCAACCCCCTGCAACAGGCAGGGACACCTCCCTCTGGACCAGGTTGCTCACAGCCCCATCCAGCCTGGCCTTGAATGCTTACAGAGAGGGGAATCCACAGCCTCTCTGGGCAACCTGTTCCAGTATCTCACCACCATCACAGCCAAGAATGTCTTCCTACTCTTTAGTCTAAATCTACTCTTTTCCAGTTTAAAACCATTTTCCCTCATCCTGTTGATACATGCCCTTCTAACAAATCCCTTCCCAGCTTTCCTGTAGGCCCCCTTCAGGTACTGGAAGGCCACTATGAGATCTACTTGGAGCCTTCTCCTCTCCAGGCTGAACAGCCCCAGCTGTCTCAGCATATCCTTATAGTGGAGGTGCTCCAGCCCTCTGATCATCTTTGTGGCCCTCATCTGGACCTGCTCTTGCTCCAGATCCCTCAGAAAACAAGGTATGTCTGCATGGGAAGCTAAAAGAATGAGTTCCGTGAGTTAAGCCTGAGGGATTTTTGCAACACTGATTAAAAACATCTACCTGGGGAAACATTAGGTGTATCCAGATCCAGCTAAGGATAGGAGTCCATGATGATGTGGACCAAGTTTGAGCTCAGTGGATGTGAAAGCAACATTCAGATCTGACCAGTGTTGCAAGGAAAGCACTACAAGGAAGCAGGAGAATTTGCAGGAAAAGTCTACAAGATCTGGTTTTGGTTATTCTTTGCATAACTTGCTAGTTTTAGAGAGATCTGGTGGTATCAGAAAAATCTCAGGAAGACCACCCAACACGCTCATTCAAATGCAAAGCATACAGTCCTTGATTGAACACCAACAATTTAAATGAACAAAAACGTAGTAAAGGGGCTTGCTGAGTCACTTTCCTAGGCAACACTGAATATTTTCTTGGATATATCCCCCATCTTAATACGTGACTTAATTCAAAGCTGGCTCGCTCCAGTTTTGCAGGCACTGGGGCTGGAACACTCACTGAAATGACCACCGATGCGCTCGCTTTTTCAGGCAGTAGCAAACATTTGTGAAGTCGCTTCTGACGACCCATTTAAAAATGTAAGGTACACAGCCAAGTCCTGCTGCCTTCCAGAACCACAGAGCCTGTGGTTTTACTCGCTGAGACTTGCTCAAAGCACTTGGGTTTCAATAAAATCCCCTAACAGTACCGTGGTTTTAAATAACACCCACTCCAGTGCCAGCAACACACTTCCTTGTTGCTGAGATGAACAGATAGTTACCTCCTCTGGCTGAGGGAGCACAATAACTGACATTGTCCCCGTATGAATACGCTGCATTCTCGATGACAGCCCGGTCTCAGGGATTCGCTGGACTCTGTGAGTCCCTCCTTCATATTTCAGATGCCTGTAGACATCATCTCCTGAAATATGAGCAGCCGCGTGATGCAACCCACCTATAGAGACAAATAACGCGTGGAAATCACAGCCCACAAACACGGCCTTCAATGTCGTTGTCTGGATGGAACGTCTGGAGAACTACTGTACCTATCTCAGCTGGCACGTAGTTCAGAATGTCAAAGGTCCAGCATTTATAGCCCGCATAGTTCTGGTACATCTCAAACATTTCTTTAGTGAACTGTTGGCAGATGTCACCTATAAATATAAAGGCGCTACAACATAAATAGCAGTTTGCAAAACGGCAGCCACGGGTTTGAAGATTTCACTGCAACTGTATTCGCGCTCATAAAACAGATTAATGCTGATAATAAATAATACAGATTAAGGAAGTATGGCTTTATGCCACTGAAGTGTAAAAATGCATTAAGAATAACCCGTAAGAGACTTAAAAAGTTGGATGAAGGTTCGGAGTAATCTTTAGTGGAGAGTTTGCTGACCTCCAGTTGTTCTGCCAGCTGTCACTTCTAATATAACGTGACTTTTATCATACTTCTCCTTTGGCACTACAAGCTGGAAAAGCTGAAAAGAGAAAAGAAGGGGAGAGAAAAAAAAAAAGAAATGTCACTATCTCTTTCATGACTCTATCTCCTTTTAATGAAGTTTATAGCCAGCCTTCACAAATGCCACGGCTTGAGCACGCACAGCCACGGATTTCTATTGGCAAATGAATAAGTAGGACTAAAAACTGTCCAAGTCCAAAGGCTGTTGCAGCTCAGTGCAGTTGGTGTGGAAATGGGATACGTTGGTGCATCCACAGGAAAGCTAGCTGAAAATTCGATCCCACAGCGTCAGGTGCCTGGTCACCCACTGCAGCCCCAACTACCTTGGAGCACAAAGTTACCAGCTATTGCCCAGCCACTCTTCACACAAACACGAACCTTACGTTTCAGAAGGTTCTATTTCCCATTTTCTCAATCTCAACATAGAAATGAGCCCAAACACAGAGCTTTCTACCAAACTTTTTCAGCTTCTCTGCTTATAATTTATGTTCCTGCTCATGGGGAGCTGCCAGCTGAAGAGAAAATGAAATACTGAAGGTTCCAATCAGAAACCTTTTCAAGAATGCACGCTCTGCTGCCACAAGAGTTACTTGGATGTCACGCAAGGTCTCATCAGCACAGACAGCTTCACATCCCCTTCAGCATCTCCAGATGGACAAGCAAGCAAGCAGAAATGCCTAAAATAATTAGCTTCTAAGATGCATTTGTCAGTAAGAAGCTTACCAGTAATTAATGTTGCCATGTCTTCTCAGGGAAAATAGAGAAGCTGGCCTTCTGTTTCATTAAATGCAAGTGTCAGTCTATTGGCAAGATCACAAAGGAACATTTTCCTGACATTTATTTATGAAGCTGTGTATTTTTACCTCAGGCTCACCTTTCTGCACAGCGTGTTGATTTTTTTATCGAGGGTTTCCTTCTCTTCTAAGGCAAGCTCTAGCAGTTGCTTCTCTTCTCTGCTGCCCAGCTCTGAATTCCAACAATAGGAATAAATGTTAGCCAGTCTTACTTAGCTTACAGCAGATCGTAATACAGCTGTCAAAAGACACACTTTACAGAATTTAAAAGCTTGCAGTGCATGCAGTTCCACTGTGCCAGCAAGAAATATCAAAGAAGAGCAGTTGAAGCCAGGATGTGTATTGCTAACTAAATGACTGCATTTTCCAGAGGTGCTGGAAGGAGCTGAGATATATTACTTCCCAGTCTCCTGGCTACGACTCCAAGTCAGCATCACACAAATGCCAGTCCCACCTGACAGTTACTTGCTGCCAATTATAGTATACTGACAGTTATGTGACAGAGACTGACAGTGCAGAGGCAAACCCACCAAGAGATTTAACAAAATATGTCAAAAACACGCTGGGAGAAAAGAGTGCCTCAGTTTTCTTTACCACTATTTCACATGCAACAAGACTTTCCATTTCTAGACTAGCACAGAAACTGCTATCTGTGCAGTACTTTGCAGCCAGCTCATTAGGACGAGCATTAAAAATGTAAGTATGATGACAATTACACGGGTTCTAACCTTCTGCCTCCTGCTAATCAAGCAATCAATGAGATATGAGAATTATGGCTTCAGCCATCAGGATGTGGAAGACCTCACTTTAACTCTTTGCTTGAAGAGATTCCCTTCCCATCTGCTCAGCCTAGGTGAGTATTTTGTCCAGTTTTGAGCTCCCCAGTACAGATAAGGCATGGAGATACTGGAATGAGTCTAGCTAAGAGCCACAGAGATAGTCCAGGATGGAAACAAAGAAAATATTAGGAGAGGTCAAGAAAACCGTCCCTGGATGCATTGAAGGCCAGGCTGGATGTGGCTCTGGACAGCCTGGTCTAGTAGTTGGTGACCCTGCCCGTGGGAGGGGAATTGAAACTAGATGATATTTGAGGTCCTTTTCGACCCAGGCCCAAGCTATGATTCTATGAAACTGCGTTTGTTCAGCCTTAAGAAGAGCAGACTGAGGGGAGTTTTTATTGCTGTGTACAACTGACTCACAGAAAGATACTGAAAAGTTCAAGACAAAGTCTTTTCAAAGTATATTGTCATAAAACAAGATAGAAGCTGGAGCATGGGAAATTCTGATTAGGTATTAGGAAAATTATTTTGACTCTAAGGGTTGTCAGACAATGAAATGGGCCCAGGGAAGCTGTAGGATCTCTGTTCTTGGATCTATTCAACTGGACAAGATTGCAGTCGGGCTGCTCTAAGCAGTCCTGCTTTGAGTAGAACATCAGTCAAAATCACCTTCAAAAGTCTCCTTCAACCTAATCAGTCCTGCAGTTCTGTGATTCAGTTGTGGTCTCCTACATTTTAGAGCTGCAAAACATTCTCAAACAGAGCTAACAGAAGCTCCAAATCTTTTCTACTACAGAGGCTCCAGTTTAGAGTAATGGAAGATGCCAATGCACGAGATCGTGCACTAAACAGACTGTTAAAAGATGGCTGGAATCAAAACCAAAATGCCAGAATAGGGAGCACCCCTTCATTTTTTTCTCCTCAGCAGCAAGTCCCAAGAACGGAGCGGGCTGAGATGTTGAACCAGCCTTGTATACTGGACAAGGATAGTGGCAGCTCCTTCATATTCTCCTTTATAACTTACATTCCATTTTGGTTTGTTGGTTGGTTTTGTTTTTCTTTAAATAAGATATGGCAGATCCACACTTGAGCCTAGCATCCTCTGTACTTAATGCAGGAACTACATAGGTAACCCTACCTGTATGTCACAGCTCCACCAAAAGATGGTACTGAACAGGAGGCTTCTAGGTGGTCTGAAAAGTATCCTTATGGATTGGTTGAATAGAAAGTATCAGATGAGGTATTGTCAACAGAGATGGAAGAATGGGCTGGTGGCAAGAAGCTTGAGGTACAAATGACTGCTGTCCCATTCCTACCTCCTCCCTGACCTTTATCAATTCTCATAGAATTACAGAATCATGTAATGGCCAGGACTGGAAGAGACCTCAAGGATCATGAATCTCCAAACCCCCTGCCTGAGGTACTGAAACCAGAGGGTTGTGGATGCCCCGTCCCTGGAGGTGTTCAGGGCCAGGTTGGATGGGGCCCTGGGCAGCCTGGTCTAGTGTTAAATGGGGAGGTTGGTGGCCCTGCATGTGGCAGGGGGGTTGGAGATTCGTCATCCTTGAGGTCCCTTCCAACCCTGGCCATTCTGTGATTCTGTGATTCTGTAAAGTGTTTTCTATAGCCACTGTTTCTAAAGCACAAACATACCCATTTATTTCCATAGCTGAGGAACACAGGTATTTTCTATCTTTCTTAAGCAGGCAGGAAATGTTACCAGCTATGTTTCTACAAGCTTTATTTCAACATGGTTTTTACTGATGTGTCAACATTCCATGGTTCCTTTTCCCAGAATTACCAGGAACTTCAATCCTCCTCCTCTTAAACTGCTACATATCCATTTCTCCTTCTTTGCTTTTCCCTTCCTTAACTGTGTTAGTGCAAGTCCCATTTTTTCCAGGTCACTCTATCTTATCTTAATGTCTGTTTTGGTGCAGCAGAATGCCCCACATTCTTCCTTCCTGCAGTACACAGTGCCTCACTCTTCTCACAGTGTGTTAGTGTATCTTTTCAAAATGTTGCACCACAAGTCCTTTTACTGCCCACCTACTTTCTTCTTCCTGAATAGTATCAAAAAGAGGGTCAAGCTCTTTTTTTTCCTTTTTCCTTTTTTTTTTTTTTTTTAACCCTAACTTTTACTGCAACATAGTATTGAAAAGCAGCAGCTTTTTGGATAACCATCAGCTTTCCCAGTAGGACTTCTCAAATATCCTCCAAGACCTATTAAATGTTGCCATTTACATTGGAAGCTGCTAATTCAGGACCTAATTATGGCAGTTCACATAGCTTGCTTACTAAGCATCAAACTGGCTAGTTGGAATCCCATTTTAAGTGGCATGGCTGTAGTCAGTGTCTATTCAACAGGCTGATGCTTATCCTGCAGTTCGTACTGCTCTTGGCTCTACCAAAAGAGAACCTAAAGCAAACATTTCCAAACTATTTCTGCAAGATGCATAGCCATCAGAGTCCAAACAGCCCCTACTTTCCCAAGTTGGCTGCATTAAGACCTGTATTAAGAGAGATAGCATAAAAATAAAAGGAAACGTCTGGATCTAGAAAGCCTTAAAGGGACTCAAGCTCCCAGGAACAGACAATACCAGAGAGCGTTCCAGAGCTGGCTTAATTCATTTAAAAGCTCTCCATGAAGGCTGAGCAATGAGGTTTATCACAAGCAAAGCCACTCTTTCAAAATGACTAAGCAGATGTGCACTCCTTACCTCTACACATGGTTTCTAATTCCCGGAGCTCGCCTTCAGCCTCTTTGATTTCTTGAAATGCAGTTGCAACTGGGGACAGATCAGCATGTCTTCTCCTCAGGGTCCTTTGCTCAAATTCATTCTTTGAATCAGCATTTAGCAGACTATTAACCTGCTGGTATTCCTTGCTCAGAGTTTCCAGATACTTCTGCACAGCCTCATGCTTCCACAATGCTCGAGAGTCCTGATGCTTCTTCCTAAGCTGACTGTGAAATAACAGAGTGAATCCAGCTGTGTCCAGCAAAGAGTCTGGCCTCCAAAATCCACGGCTGTGCAGCCTCATCACACAACTCATCTTCTTTGCAACAGAAGGAAGAGGGGAATTGTGAAGCTGACCATAACAGTAGAAACCAGAAAGCAGGTTCTTGAAAAAACAGACACTTTGTGGAGGTTTCATATTGTTTCTTATTCTTCCACTGCCTGAAATTAGCAGTATCAGACATGGAGCACTTTCACCATCTATAGAAAAGCATTTGGTTAAAATAATAATAATAAAAATCCAACCTGTATCAAGCCCAAATTCTTTTCTTGACTACACCAACACAGATTGAACCGTTACGGACAGAACTATTCCTTTCAGTCTTAGTTTAAACTAGAAACTCTTATCAGCAACACTGTACCAGCAAAGGCTTGGAAAAATCTTTTCCCTCACCTTCTCAGTGTTTATGCTGTAGAAGATCTACTCTAGATGCTGCTTTAGAGACAACAGCTTCATTTGTCATACTTCTCACTGGAGAAACTGAACCATTTCCTGCCTTACTGGCAAAACAAAAATGCTGCTGTGAGAAAACACATCTACAGTGCAGACATCAAATTCTATATGAAGAAGGTACAAAATGTGCAGTATATGCAATATCAGACCCACTACCATAAGAGAATACAACTTTGGCAGGTGGACATCAACAACATCAGGGTGATTTTGCAAAAGGTTTGTCACTGGGACTACAACATACTTGCATGAAATTACTTATCCATGTAAGTCCTACGTCAGATATGGGAACAGTGCTTTATTTCCTTCCCACGATACACTTGCAGGTAAGGGACAGACATATTTTCTATCAGAAGGGAGAGTACAAAGATGGTACTCTGAAATCCAGTCCCTTTATTTTTGCATGGTACTTGATGCACGGTTTTGCAGGACACAGGCTACCCTTAGTGTCACTGCTGCTTTGCTCATCCTACTTACTTTCATCCATGGGTCCTGTAACAAAGGACAGTCCTGTAACAGCAATGTATACAAAAAAAGGTATTGCATCTTGCTTGCCCAGCCATCTATTTCACTGCCTATACAAACTGGAAAAGCTAGAAAGAGAGGGAAGGGCCTCTATTCTGCTTCTGCACATTCCTCAGAGGTGGCAGGCACTACCAAACTCACAGCTGCACTTTTAAGGACAATTTGATTTACAGAAAGCCAACAGTAATCCTTATGGATTGTTCCAGTGACTGAGTAGTAGAGGGACACCACTTCCTTCACCAAGAATAAGTCAGAATACACAAGTCAGACTCAGCATCTGCACTCCTGGACTTAATTCCTCGGGGCACATGTTGGACTTAACTTCAAAACATTTAATTTTGCTGATGACGTGGTGTTGCCTCTACTTACTGCAAGTCAGAATGGCCACTCATCGTCCAGTCAAGTGGTAACCACTGTTAAGAGAAATACTGCTGTAGTTAGAGCTAACAACGTGTGAAAATAAGAACTAATTCATTGCAGAGTTTTGCCTGAGCTTTCCCAAGTAAAATACTCACTTTCACATGCCTAGAGAACTAAGCAACTGCATGACACCAATCCTTGAGAGAGTCAGAGATTTTGAAATAGATTGGTTTTATTATTATTTTGACAAAACAAAGTTGTTTCCTCCTTAGAGAGATGCTGTCACCCTGCATTTGTGCAGAAATAAGCCCACATAAAGCTTTTACACAGCCACGTACAGCAGACTGCCTATTAACTGCTTCTCAAACTAGTTCTTAGCGACTTTCTGAACATGACAAAATTACCCAGTGGGCAACATAAACACATCACAAATCAAAACCTGTCTGTAACAACGACAGCTGCAATTGTCTCATTACGAAAATAAATAGATCAGCTCATTTCTAGTTAAGGGACAACTATCAACGCTGTAACTCATTTAAAAGCTTTTAAAAATCACTTGTAATGATCAAGGATACTATTAACACAGTGAAACCGATTCCGCTGAGATGCATAAGAATACATATGCATAAGGGAGGGGTTTCAGTGATGCAGCCTCAGAGAGGTGCCTTCAAGGCTTCATGGGCCCTCAGCCCCCTTTTCACAGCCCTCTGCATCCCACCTCAGCTACACCAAGCAGCCCTCCTGCAAAAGCCAGGCACAGAACCCCGTGCAGCCCTCCCCAGCGCAGGGCTCACTGGGAGAGCAGGAGGGCAGCCCTGTGAGCCAGAGGCCGGCCGGCAGGCAGCCGCCGGTAATCGCCTTGGCTTGGCTGGGCTCAGCCCCTGCAACCCAGAGTGGGCAGAGAGCGGGCTCCGTGTCGCACACAGAGCCTACAGACTCACCCTCCCCAAATGGAAGCGCCAGACAGGTCCTGCCTTACATCACGAGGCCATTGCAGACAGGAAGTAAAGTGGAAAGACTCGCACTCCCAGCATGCCTGCTCACAGACACAACTCCCGGCGTGCTGCAGCAGCTGCCTGTCTTCGGCCGTCCCTCCGTCTGTCCTTCCAGCGCATTGCTCTCCTCCAGCCCGCGGATGCAATCACCCTGGGAGCAGCGATCGCAGATTTGCAAGCACGGCTTTAACAGCTTTACAAGTAAATTGTGAAATGCTGTCTCCGAAATAATTTTTAAAAGATCTCACAAGTGAATCTCGATCCACATTCTCAATATTTTCTGCACAGCTGCATAGCTGCACACGCTTTGTCTAAAATGACAAGCGCACCAACAAGTGGGAATAGTCCTGTTTCCAAGTTCTGTGCTGTGACATAAGTGGACTTTCCTGTGTATGTTCCCAAAACATGGGCTGAAAATACCCCGAGTTTCAAATCTGGTTATGCAGAGATTGTTGTTTTACGTAAACTTTACTCAAATCAAAGTTCCACTTCATGTCAGGGCTGGCTGTAATTATACTCCATATGAATTAGGACTACACTACACAAGGCAAACACCACTCACAAAATGCTACTCAACACAACCGTTCTCATCATTCAGCTAACAGGCAGTTGTATAATCTGTTTGATATTATCTATACCCCTCATTATATTCACGTTCTAAAAAGACTTTACGTAACAATGCCTTTTATACCTATAATCACCCTAAAGGCCAATTTACTCCTATGCATGTCATAGGAGGAAAATGTATTCAAACCTCAGATGAAAAACTCCCTGAAACTCTTATGTTCTCCCTAGGTGCACAGCTTGCACTAAGAAGTCCTTCTCTCTTCCAAAGTTTGCTTCTTTTACAGGAACTTTCCCTATCTTTTTTATGTTTTAGCAAATCCAACTCCACTGTAAATGCCTTAGAGAACACTGGGTTTTAGGTTTCTTTCTTCTTAGCTGCTGTCATTCAACAGGATTAAATATATATATGTATAAAACACTGTATTTGGCACATGTAACATCAACAAGTTTTGGTGAGGTAAATACACCTAAAAGGCTGAAAATGAGACGATAGGAAGATTTGTACCAAACCTCACCAGCATACAAAGGATAACCAGCCTCTTGTTTCACTCTCAGGGCTGCTCCTGGCTCTGCTCAGCCCCTCAGGAGGACAGGAGGCAAAGGGAAGAGACTACAAAACAGCCTCAGAAACCAGGAGCCATCCCAGAGCCCATCCAATTTACAAAGAGGCCACAGCAAACAGCTCCCTGCAGTCTTCCAGGAGCCTTCAATCTGACACTTAAAAATCTTGAAAAGGTGATCTATGGGCAATCAACCAAAAAGCTAATAAGAACATGAAAACTAAAGGCAGGCCATGCACTCAAAATTACAAAACAGAATGAAAAAAAAGAGGGTAGGCCAAGAAAAATCACATCAGCTTCTACTGCAGCCAGAAACAGCTATTACATTAAACCCTCTGATTAAAAGCAATCGTGATTCAGTTTTCACTATCCTTGCTGGCAGTTCTTCATCTTAACTCTGTGCATGACAGTACAGGCTAACAGATTCTCAGCACTCCCCAGCAGCCAGCAGACTGGACACGGGCTGGACTCAGGGGACATATTCCTCATATCTCATAATACCAGCGAATAGAAACACTCTTTCCTTCCGTTTCCAGGATGATGTTTGAAACGGAATAAGGGAATTGAGTATAAAAGATGGGAAATTCCATTTCTGCCTGTGCTTCCACCTCCCTTATGGTTCACCTTGGCCTACAGAGCTGGTGAGGCCTGTGGCTTGCAGGTGGTGCTCAGGGCAGGGTGCTGCTGCCCTCGGCCAGCAGGCAGAGTGGGGAAGTGACAGCAGCAGGTTCCCAGGCTCCAGGGAACGGGACATGGCACTTGGGATGTGCTTTTAAATTCAAATCTGGCAACTTTAAGCTGCCAACTTGATTTCAAAAGGATGGACAGCAGGACGAGGGGGTGGGGGGGATTGTCCACATCTACTCTGCCCTTGTGAGGCCCCATCTGGAGTACTGCATTCAGGCCTGGGGCCCCCAGCAGAAGAAGGATGAGGAACTGTTGGAGTAAGTCCAGAGGAGGGCCATGAAGATGATCAGAGGGCTGGAGCACCTCTCCTTTGAAAACAGGCTGAGGGAGCCAGGCTTGTTTAGCTTGGAGAAGAGAAGGCTCTGGGGAGACCTCATTGAGGCCTTCCAGTACTTGAGGGGAGCTTATAAGCAGGAGGGAGACCAACTTTTCACACAGTCACATGGTCGGATAGTAAAAGGACAAGGGGGGTTGTGGGGGGCTGTACTAAAAGAGGGGAGATTTAGATTAGATGTCAGGGACGATGACTCAACCACCTCCCCGGGCAGCCCATTCGAGTACCTAACCATTCTTTCAGAGAAGAAATTTCCCTTAATATCCAATATGAATCTCCCCTGGCACGACTTGAGGCCATTCCCTCTAGCCCTATTGCTAGTTACACAGAACAGGCTGATCCCCCCCCCCCCCCCACCACAACCTCCCTTCAGGTATTTATAGAGAGCAATAAGGTCTCTCCTGAGCCTCCTCCAGACCAAACAATCTTAGTTCCCTCAATCACTCCTCATAAGAGTTGTGCTTGGATGTCTCTTCCCACTTTTGACCTAAATAATCTGTTGACAGACTTCTGAATTCTTTCTGTTTGTAGGGAAAACTGGTGACAGAATCACACATGCCTTGAATACAGCCCTGTTTATTAACAAAGCCTGTAGAAAGCGCTTTGTCTGGCCAAGCGCAGTGGGATTAAATGACAAGAAGTTTTCCTGACTGTACTTCCAAACTTCACTTTCAACCAGCCCTCTGCCCCCCCCAACGCTCATTTCTATCTTTAGTCTCTCTCAGCTAGTCTAAAATTGTTTCTTTACTGCCAGCTTGCTCTCCTTTTCTTGGTGCTTTCAACACGGATTTGTAATACAGACACATGTTGAAATGCAGATCAAATGCCTGCCTCTCATTTGCAGTTTTGCCTGTTTTCAGATGGCGTTTGTTCCAGTATTTGGACTAGCAGGGAACTGACACTTTGCTATAAAGAACAGCCTTACTGTCTCAGACCAAAAGTTCACTGAGCACAGTATTCACCTGACCATCTTGGAGGTGTTTACCACAGAAACCAACCAAAGGCATAAAGCCTACTGCAAGGACAGAAAATCTGAGTTCATGAAGCCATGGCTCCAACTAGTTACAATCAGTGCTAATTCAGCGCTGTGGTGCAGACCTTGAAAATGATGCAGCAGAGCTGTCCTTGTCAACAGTACACCTGCTCAGAAAAAAAATTCAGACTCTGAGACCCTGAATTAGGCTTAGCCTTACAGTTTACTATTCCAAAACCATGCCCACTTTCTGTCCCTCCAACACGAAAGGAAGGACCAATGTCCATGGAGTTTAGCAAGGCTTCTGAGAAGTCAAAGGACACACTGCTTGGGATTTGTTGCCTCAGCCACATCACTGCTTGCTTTGTGTAACCAAATACAGCCTGTTAAGTGTACAGCCTTCCTAATTGTTATCTCCACATGCTTGCTTTGCTATGCGCATCCACTAAGCTCATCACTTGAGCAGTAGAAATCTCAGAATGATTTGGAAGGAACTTTTAAGATCATCTGGTTCCAACTCCCTGCTGTAGGCAGGGACACCTCCCTCCAGACCAGGTTGCTCAAAGCCCCATCCAGCCTGGGCTTGAACACTTCCAGGGAGGGGGCATCCACAGCCTCTCTGGGCAACCTGTTCCAGTGTCTCACCACCCTCACAGCAAAGAATTTCTTCCTAATATCTAATCTAAATCTGCCCTCGGTCAATTTAAAACCATTTCCCCTCATCTCCTGTTGCTATACGCCCTTATAAAAGTAAGTAGGTGATAACCATGTTATTATAGGAATAATATTATTTTAAAACACAACTAATGTATTTAAAAAGTGGTTAACAGGGACTCTAATTGAAGCTGCTTAATTTCCGCCCCACCATTCCTTCCCCAGCACGATCTTTTTAATTGATTGCAACTCTGACAGCTTAACCAGTTTCCCTCCCAAGGAAGCACCCCATGCTGTGTGGTTTCAGTGCTGCTGGCTTGTTCTTTAGCTTTGCAAAGATCAATTTAAAAGCTATTTCTGCAAATGACAGGGAAAAAAATCATTTTTCAAAAGACCTTAAGCCTCCCTTGTCGGAGGAGCCAAGCCACGACAAAACACTGCTCTAAGCACGCACGGTAATGCTGGGAAGCTTTGTGTAAGCAACTAACAAAGAGCTGATGCCATAGATGACATCCCAAAGGCCGGGCTGGCGGCTCACCCAGAGCCCAGCTTGACAGCGGGCACCAACAGCGGGCAATGAGGGCCGGAGGAGAGGGGGAGGCTGCGAGGAGACAAAGAGATTTTCTGCCTTATCTCAGCACGGCCGGGCGAGGCCGAGCGCTGAAAGGAAAAAAAAAAAAAAGCATCCAGTTTCGAAGGCTTTGAAATAGCCATGACTCAGGGCTTCAGCGAGCCGGAGTTATTTTTACACCTTCTGAGGGCGGCAGTCCCCTTCCTCCCCATCCTCCCCATCCTCCCCATCCTCCTCCTCCTCCCCCACTCGGGGCGCTTTCGAGGACCCCTCGCCTCAGCGTGCGGCCGAAGCTAGCAAAAAACAACCAAGCGCTGCCCTCAAAACGAAAAAAGCAAACCCCGACCCAACCAACCCCTCCACACAACAGGGAGCGGGCGGGAAGCAAACAGCCCGGCGCCACCCGCCCCCCCACACCCCGCGCCAGGCTGCGGTGCGCATGCGCGGCGGGGGACCCCGGCCGCCATTTTGCAGCGTCAGTCGGGCGGCGAGGCCTCCCCGGCAGCTGCGCAGAGGAGCCGCGCTCGCGCGCTGTGCCCGAGGGGAGCCAGCGGGGCGGGCGGTGCAGGCCAATGAGTTGAAGAGTCGCCGCCGCTCGCCCGTGAGCCGAGTTGGGGATCGCCTTTTCCTTTCCCCCGCCTCCTTTCCCTTTCTTGCAGCGACAGCCGCTCCTCGCAACCTCGAGCCGCGTTGCCCCGCGGCCGCCCGCCCGCATCATGCCGTCCGTGCCGCTGCCGCCCAAGGAGAGCAACCTTTTCAAGCGGATCCTGGTGAGCCCCCGGCCCGTCCT